GGCAGTCGTATAGAAAAAGCTGGATGTGAATGATGTCTTGAGAGACTTACACTGGGTCAAATTCTATCTTGTAATGGACAGAAGTTACAGCTGAGTCACCATAATAACATTCAGAACATTTATGGGAAAAGGAAGGAGATAGTAATATTGCAACTGTAATAGTTTAATAAGGTTTGAACACATGATCTGATAAACTAAATCCACAGGAATTCACAGTGGTTACCAACAGAAGAGTTTGCCTGATCAGTGGGCACCATTGAAACATACTGTGAATTACTAAAATTAATAAAAATTGGAATATAAGAGATAAAGTTCAAGTGATGAAAGTTCTCCAGTACAATCCAGGATCTACATACATGCACAATTTCATTAAAATCAGTCTTATTACTATATATTAGTTTTATTTCAGCCAAAAGCAGTGATGAAGAGCCCAGTGGTTTAAGGTGCTCAATAGGTCTCTGAATTAGAATCTGCATGTTTTGGTTGTAAAGTGATTTTTTTTTTTTAATTATAAGTAAGCACCAATACAGGAATTGAAAGAGGGAAGGAAGGAAAGTAAACAGAACACATACATAATTAGATTTGAAGTCACTAACTTTGAAATCCCCACAAAGATGCACTGTACATGGGTAGTACCCACTGAAATTTTATATATTGTTTTCAGAACGTCCTGAAAATTTAGAGGGAAAAAAAGCAGAGAAGGGCATCAGTGAACCAGGAATGGCCTGAACACAGCACGAGTTCCATGTGTGCAAGTATTATCTCATTTATGGGATGGACTGACCCCACAGATTGCTAGATAAAACTAACCCCCCTCCCTGCCCCCTCTGCCTCAGGGACCATGGTGTCTGCTGCTACAGCAGAGGGAGGAGCAACCAGCAGACATGGCTCAAGTCCTTGCCAGTGGGACAGGGAGGGGGGAATTAAACCCCACTGTGGCCAGACCTCCGCCCCTGCCAGCTGGTGTGTCTGCTCCAGCTAGAGAGCAGAGGGCCGGGTCAGCCCTGTGGCTGGACCAAAGAGCCCCACCCACCCAGAGAGCATGCCAGGATGCTGGGGGTGTCTGGTTTAACTTAAACAAGAAAGGGGTCTGGGACAGACAATGCATAAACTGGTTTGAGCTAAATCAGTTAAGTCTAATATTACATTTAACCAGATTTAACTTAAACCAGTGTGGGACATTCTGAAACTGGTTTATGTGCATTGAATGTCTGTTCTGTTACAGGTTTAAACCAGTTTCTGATCACTTAAATTGGTTTATGTGTAATGGTTGTCCCTAGCGAAAGAGTGGCATACTATATTCCTGAATGCCCAAAACTATCAATAAAATCATTGGGAGTTCAGCATGTTCAAGGAATACAGGAAAGGGACCTAAATGACTTGCAGAGAACCAGGATTAAAACACAAATTACTAGTTCCTTGTCTACTGGTTAACCAGCCTTGTCACTTCCATTATAATTTGTATTGCAAACACTTATCATGTATGGCATCATGAAAAAGAGCCCCAGGCTCCTAGGTACCATAAACATGTAACAAAGAGATAGTGCGGGTTTCCTTATTACAATTCCTGATGGACTTACCTGAGGGTAGTTAAACATATTTCAAAACATCATCAGGCTCCCCTAAGCGAACCTAGCGTCCATTAGAATATTAGATTTCAATAGGATAATTACCTATTAATTTTCTAAAACAATACAATCTTGCTAAATCTTAAGGTGTGGACAAACATGCATTTGAAACCATTTCAAAAGGGAAATGTTCCAAAAGCTCAGCAGCTGTTATGTTCCAATTCAGTAGTCCTCAACATCTTTAGACCCAAGGCACTCCTCCAAAACTTATCAGAATTAGAAGCACCCCATTTAAAAAATGAATATACATATATTATGACTATTACAAGCATTATAATTGTACTATTAATTACTATGTTATTAACTGACTATATCATTCTTAGATAATAAATTCTTATCTAATAAAGGGCTTAGTCCGTCTGTCTGTCTGTCCCTAATGCTCTTGGAGCACTCTGATTGTTTAGTGAAACAACCAATCAGAGTGCGGAGCGCCGCTATCACAGCAGGAACGGAGAGGGGGTGAGGCCATTGACGCTGGAGGCAGCAACAGTGCAGGGTGCTGGCAGAAGGGGATGGAGGAGACGGCAAGGCAAGGTTCCCTCCCTTGCTCCTAGGAGGTAGCAGCAGTGCAGGGTGGGAGGTGGCAGCACTCCATCCCCGCCTGCCCCCTCCCCCCCATCATTCTTGACAGGCAATTAGCTAGTTATATTATATTCAGCCCTTCAGGCTTCTGGTGGGAGCTGCTCCCCTAGCTCTGCCTGGCCTAGCATAGGTTTGCTCCCCACACATGGCTTCAGTTCATTGGTGGTGATCAGGAACCAACAGGGTAAATTTTCCCCTTCCCCCTGAACTTCAGCCCTAGAGCCCTAACAGGAAGAGTTCAAGAATGCCCAGCCAGCAGAAACATGGTACTAAGCTACACACACAGCACATGGGAAGCTCTGATGGGGTGGTGGGCAAAAGGACACACAAGACCCAAGAAGGGAAAGGGGGTAGGCCAAAGGGAATGCCACAACATGGTCACAGCTGCAGCCACCACCACTGACACAATGTAATGGAGCTGCAACATACACTTCTGCTTTCAGGAGGCCTAATGGAGGTAAACTGAGAAGTGGCTGCAGCAGAAAGTTAGGTCCGCCTGAATTACATTATGTAGACAGGCACACTGCTCATTCTGGTTAACTACCTGTATGCTTAAATCCTGCTTCATTTTATTATATTACTAGCCTGCAGATGGAGACACAGAACTGCTCTACAAAATAATAAATACTCAGCATGCCAAGTACTATCATGACCATGATGATGCCTCAGCACTGAAGACAGGAGTGCAAAACATTCTCTCTCTTATCCCAGACTAGATAGCTTCATCTTTATTTTTTTTTCAATAGAAAGTATGAGAGAGACAAAGATGCACATATAAGAAAACATGTCTCTTTGTAGCCTCTCTCTTTATATTTTTCACTAAATGGGTTTATAAAAGCACTATTTATTCTTAGTTCTATATAATGGAGGAAGAATTTAAAATGGAGCAGTGGCATGAAAAATTTGGCTAATCTCTCTCACACACCAGATGAGTCTAGTTCAATAAGGTTAAAAACAAAGGTCAGTTTATCCAGGGGCTGAGAGTCCCAAACTGTGACTCACATCTAAATGGCCCATTAACTGGAATTAGTCCAGATCCTCCCCAGGCAAAGCATTAGTTCAGACACTTAACAGGTACTTCAGGTGGGAAAATGGGCTCCTCCCTCAGGAGGATCTCAGGATAAAAGGCTTGCTTTATTTTTAGCAGAAGACACACAAATGTATTCTTTCTCTATCCAACAGTGTCACCTACAGTTACAGGATTTATTAACTATATTATTTCTACAAAGTAACTATGAAGTTAGGCACACTTCCAAAAGTGTTAAAAGCATAATTCTCTAGTAAAAGAATCATTGCCAGAAAAGTATATAATAATATAACAATCTAAGGGATGATCTTAATCTAGTATGGAGTAATCAGGTATACATCAAATGAGTGTTGCTCCACATAACATCCCATATCAAATACAAGACAAACAGTCAGGACACGTAACACATTTACGACAGTGTAAATCTGTAGTCCTCAACCGCCCACCCCTTTGGCCAAATCTGGCCCATGGGGCCACATCACCCAGCTCCTGGGGAGCTCTGCAGGCTGGATGGCAAAGACCCACATGCCAGCACACAGCGTTGTTCTAAAGCCAGATCCAACACATGCGGCCAGGCTGATGTGCCAGATTTCACCCTTGTACTGACCCCATGTGCCAACCCCACGCTGGATCCAACCCATGGACTGACCCTGCCTCAGTCATCTGGCTCACAGGACTAGGAGGCTGAGCACTACTGGTGTAAATTAAATGGGTTTTTGGCACTGATATAAATTACACCAGGATGTAAAGCAGACAGACCGAACAGCACCAAGGGAGTGCAAGCAAGAGGCTTACCAGCCAGAAGATGAAAGAACAGGTCATAGGCCTGTTCAGTTGGGCACATTTGCTTTAGCAGACAGCCCCCCCAGGATAAGCAAAGCCACACAACATCTACCCTGGTGCAACTTATATTACCTCTAATTCTGCCAGGGGCAATTCTGTCAAATGACAGTATGTGAAAGTTAAAACCGATGTGTGATCCTCAAGTCAAATTCAGTCAGGAAGCCAAAGGAAGCTAAGAACAGAGCAGACACCTCCATTCTGCCCATTTTCTTATTCATTCTCAGCCGCCAAATTAAGGTAAATACAACCGGCAATAGCCCGCCTACCACCTGCATGCTAAATTCCCATCCTGCCTTCAAACTGAATTAGTGGTTAAACCTTAAATCATCATCCAGCATTTAAACCACAAGTGCTGACAGAAGTGAAAAAGAGTGGAGACGCTGGAGGTCTGGTTCCCGTGCAGCGAAGGGCTCATTCTGCAAGCCTTCGCCAGCAAAGTGCTTGGTAACGGGAGACTCAGAAACAAGCGTTTCTTTTCTGGAACAGCAGAGGCACAAACACCAGGGGCTGGGGGGACACGGTGAGCTCTCACGGGCAGCGGTGGCATTGTCAGTGGTGGCAGCAAGCGGTGATTCCTGCAGGCAGCCATGGCACTGTTGGCGGGGGGGGGGGGGGCGCGGGTGACCACCCACCGGTGCCGCTGGCAGTGTCGGTGGCACCTTTTTGCAGAGGATGCATCGCCACGCTCAGGGAGTGGACATGCTCTCGCGTGCACAAGCCTCTTGCCTAAGCGTGCCGTGCCACAACTTACTCCTGCCCAGGCCAACGTTGGGGAAGACCGAAACATACGTATCCCTCGACTCCCCTGTGGGCTTTTCCTCCCAAGCACCTTTGCAGATTCACGCGACCCGAGAGGCGCTGACCGGCGCACTCAGGAGGCGGTGGCGCCCGCCCGCGCGGGGGGAAAGCCGCTCACTCACCTCGCCGTTGGCCCAGCGAAACTCCCCATGCCCACCCTTCAGAGCAGAAGCGACCTCCCCTTTGTAGCTGCAGCCGTCCGGCCACGCCTGCGCCCCGCTGCTGCTGCTCGGAGCCGGGCCGCCCGCCTGCACGAGGCCGCACGGCCGGTCAGCGGCCTCTCCTCCCGCCGCCATCCTCCTCCTCCTGCTCCGTCCTCCGCGGGCAGGCCGGAGCGCGTCTCCCCCAGCGCTGCCGCGGGCGCCCCGGCCCGACCACTCGCGTCGGCCCCACCACACGGGCCGCGCCGCAGCGTCCGGTTGCCATAGAGACCGCAGGTGGGGGCGGGGTTTGTGAGCTGCTGCTGCAGGCCCCGCGCCTCCCGCCCTCGCGGGCTGCTGGAGACCAGGAGCCCGCTCGCTGGCGGCCGTCGGGGAAGGACAGTACTGCCAGCCCCACCGGGCCGCAAATCAGGAGATGAACTCTTTAAAAACCAAGAGACTGGCACTGAATCATGAGATGCCATTGTGGAAGGGGGAGGGCTGTGGGTGTGCAGCGGTGGCCTTAGGGTTGTTGGGGCCCTGGGCAAGACAGGCACGTGGGGCCCCGGAGGCTTAATTGTGATGACTGAGAAGCAAGTCGGACATGTTTTATTTCAATTTCACTTTGCCCTATCCGTAAACCTGCAATGAAAATATCTTAATACAATATTGGTAATACAAATATTCAGTGTAATTCATTTTTATTTTTAGTGTGGGGTCCCAGGCAGTCGCCTGGTTTCCCTGCCATAAGGGTGCTGCTGGGGCGTGTGTGGGGTTTGGAGCCCAGAGAGGGGAGTCCCCGCACATCCTGGCAGGATGCAGGGAACTGTAGGTCAGGAGTGAGGGGTAATAACAGACCATAGTATGAACATGAGCTGGCAGTGTGATTGTGATGCTCTAGCCAGCACGGCAAACATACCGAGAGGCGCAGTGGCACCAAACTGACTAGCACCACAACTGAAAGGGACCTAGGTAATAGCAGACCATAGGATGAACACGAGCCATCGGTGCAATGCTGTAGCCAGCAGGGAAAACAATACTCGCATGCATCAACTGGTGCATCTCAAGCAAAACCAAGCAAATTCTCCCAGTGTACTCAGCACTTGTGAGACCGCAGCTGGAGTACTGTGTCCAGTTCTGGGTGCCACACTTCAACAAGGACATGGAAAAGCTTGAGAGAGTCCAGAGAAGAGCCACCCATAGGATCAGAGACTTGCAAGGCAAGTCGTATGAGGAAAGGCTGAGGGACTTGGGTCTCTTCAGCCTAAAAAAGAGAAGGCTGAGCAGGGACTTGGTAGCAGCTTACCGCTATATCAGGAAAATACATCAAAGGCTCAGCGAACAACTGTTCACCAGGGCACCCTTGGGGAAAACCAAGAGTAATAGCCACAAACTCCTGGAAGACCACTTCAGGCTCAACTCTAGCAAAAACTTCTTCATAGCTCACATTTCCAGACTGTGGAATAAGCTCCCTCCAGAGGTGGTGCAATCACCTACCCTGGAAATCTTCAAGAGGAGACTGGACAGTCACCTTGCTGGGGTCACCTAACCCCAGTTGCCTTTCCTGCCTAGTGTCAGGGGCTGGACCCGATGATCTTGCGGGTGAGGTCACTATCTTCTGGGGAAGGAGGGGAATTAAAGTTGGGAAGTAAAGTAAGTTCTCCCCATAGCAAATGGTAGGTAGAGAGCAGAAACCTCTGTTTTCCACTGCTGCAGGCTTTTTTTAAATCCTCAGGCAACTTGCAGATTCCCCAAATACCTGTGTCTTAGAAATTATAACCTCAAATTATCAGGATACCAGGAAATCACGCAAGGTTCCTTTGCAGGAGAACTCCCAGAAAGCACATCCCTATCTAGTGTGTGTTGTGTCAGTCTGAGGTTAACATGGAAATGTCAACCTACCTGGAGTTAATAGCTGTTTTTCTTTTGTAAAGAAGCTGCACGTCATTAGGCTTCCAAGTAGTGCTAAAACAACTGCCAAAGGAAATAAGAGCTCAACTTTGTTTCATTTACAAGGGGATTGCCAGTCTGAAGTTAGTGAGTCTGATCAAAAAAAAATAAGGCAAAGAGGATTTGTCCCTTAGTCCAGTGGTTCTCAAGCTTTTTTGTACCAGGACCCATTTTTAAACATCAATGGGCAGTCCTGACCTGCTGCCCCTCACTCCCAGGCCTGAACCCCCCAGCATGTGTGGTAAGGGGCCTGGGAGTCCCCAGGCAGCCCCTTGCAGTTGGAACTTTGCCAACCTGCAAGGGGAAAGCCACAGTTTCCCACATTTTTCTCCTTTAAAGGAGAATCTATTTTTAAGGTTTGTTGTTTCATTTTTAAAGTTTGTTCATGACCCTTTCATATACACTTGCGACTCACTTTTGGGTCACAACCCATGGGTTGAGAAATGCTTTAGCCTTCATGGTGGATAAAAGCCTGTGAACACATTTTATTTAAAAAAAAAAAGTCAAGTTGAAATGTCCCAAGCTGACACTTGCTTTTAAAAAATATAGTTGTGTTTAAAATCCCTTTTTATTATGTATAAAATCTTAAAGGCCACTTAGAATTACATTTGTAAGAGTTAGAATCTCTGCAGTCATAAAGCTTATTGATGTAAGTCCATAATACAGAGTCTATCAGGCTGAGAAAACAGTGAGCTTTAATAGCTGTCTTAAAACAGTAGATCAAGCATTAACTAATAAGGGGAGAGGCACTCACGTGAGGTAGACTTACTAAATAAGGTACAGAGGTTTGTCATACATTCAGCCACTACTATTTTCAGAAAGCAATTGTTTTTGCCACTGAGCAGAACTTCAGACGTGAGACAAAATCATTTTTTCCTTCATTTACAAACATACCTGTTCGAAGAGCCAGAAAGTCATTTCTGGCTCTTTTACAGGCATTCTGCAAAGCCAGGTAATTAATCAGCTGGATATAATTAACCAGTCAAACATTTACTGGCACCAGAAGTCATCCAAGGACTGTAGAATATACAACATAAAAACAATCCCTGGAACAGAGCCTTAACATAGGTACTCTAATCACTAAACTTTAAAGTTAAGTCCCTCCCTTATCTTTTTTTATTTCTGTCCCCATGAAGCTCACGTTATTTGCTGAAAGGGTAGCAAAGCCTCAAGAGGAGAGACATCCCATGCCATCCCAAGCCAGTTTATATCTTGGTAGTTAAGGCACTCTACTAGGAATTAGAAAATGTGGGTTTAGACCCCTTTAAGCTATGAAGGCAATTGAATTAAGGCTTTTCATTTCCTTGGCGAGTGCTCTAATCCCTAAACTGTTACATTAAAGGTGGATGTGACCTGCACTGTTTTAAGAGCAAACCCTGCTCAGTTCTCTGGAAGAATTAATATAGATGCCAACTCTCGAGAGCCGGATCTTAAGTAGACATGGGAGTTAGGGGTACAGCCTCTGAATCAAAACTTCCTAGACCCTAAATGCTGAAGGCTGCAAGTGAGAGAGAAACAATGGAAAAAGCCCTGGTCATACCCAGTTCACTCTCCCTTTCAGCATCCACTCTGCCACTGCATGACAGGATACTGGGCAAGATGGACCTATGGCCTAACCCAGTAAATGTCAATTCTTACGTTCTAGACAGAAATCCTCTCCTGTAGCCCTGTATCAGATACTTAAAGATGTGCCCCTCTCTGGAGCCTTTTCTACTGGTTACCTCCAGCTGGTTTTCTGCTCAGTGTGGGGAACATTTGATTTGCCTTTCTGAGGTGCTTATGTTCCCCAGGCAGTTTATAGGGAACCTACACATGCAACACAGTGCTCAGGATTCAATTTTAGAAGCCAGGCATCTGAAAGTTAGACAGTGTGGCATTAACTTGTAGGCACCTAAGTACTTTATTCAATGTAGCTTTATTAATAATATATTTAAAAATATACACGTGTTAATATTATCTGACACAGATGCATTTTGGGTTTTTTTGCTATAAGCCACTAGCAACAGGACAGCTGTATATTTTCAGATGTGTGGACAGATGTTCAGGCACCTGCTCTAAATCATGGAGCTTTATACAAAGCAGCATGAGTTAGAGCACCTTCCCAACCCAACAAACATTAGCCTGTTCGGCTGGGGCAGGGATTGAGTCTACCTGCAGGAGCCCAAGTCATCTGCCTGCAGCTGAGGAGCCACCCCTCTCCCCCCAGCCCCAGTTGGGTTTACGTAGCCTAAGCTGGATTGGGGGGACCCTGCCACTCCGCCAGCTCAGGTTGGGCAAACCCTAGCCAGCAGCTCACTCCCCATCCCCCCTTTCCCTTCTCTTCCGGCAGATAGCCCCAATCATGCCACAAATTAGTACTAGGGAACACAAATTCCCTAAGGCACTCCAAAGTGGAGTGCTTTCATCTGGTCACTCATTTGATGAGGGTTACTTTGTTGTGCAATCAACCACTTTAAAAGCACTCTGCAGCAGTGCATGTCACAGCAAGGCTGTAGAGTACTGGGGGGGGGGCATTAATATGATAAAGATAACTGCACCCTATGTGATGTGGGGATAGTGACTAACTACATTTACTTACAAGTGCTCCTTCACACTGTCATGTTTGTTTTGGAGAGAGTTTAAATGCTGCTGTGGTGTAAAAGCCTTCTTTGCTGTGGAACTCTGGCAGGGTTTTTGTGCATGCTTTTAATTATTTGTTACGTTAAAAACTTTTTTGACAATAGCAACTTTTGATTATTTGCATATGTTTGAACTTTACACATTACTAACACAAATTGCAGCCATCTATTATACTGTAGACATTAATATTACTAAGGCCCTAGTCTTCTAACTGACTCTGCAAGGGTACATCCTGGTGCTTATCTAGATCCCTCCTGATTTAATTTGGATTCTGAGAAGTTTTAACACCTTGTTTGAGAAATCTGGTAGAAGCACTGTGGCTTAAAGTACTCCTCACAATTATGAATTGTGGCAAAGAAAAAGAAAGCAAAACTTTGGTGTTGACTTTTCACACTTCTGTGTTTCACAATAAGGTTGCTGCGTGGCATTCTTTCTCTGATGGTGAAAAGTAGGAAAACCCTACAATAGGTAGTATGGGATACTCTGTTCCTGCACTGTGTCCCATTGTAATCAGTAGCTAGGCATTAACCTAAACCCTGAAACATGAGATTTATTACAATAATAACTAATGCTAACAAGAAATTGGA